TACATGAACTCCTCATTCTTTTATTTTCAATTATCAATTTTTTTTATAGAAATACCTCATTCTTTTATTTTCAATTATCAATTTTTTTTATAGAAATACCTCATTCTTTTATATCTCTTTCAATCTAACTGCACTTATTATTTCATAGTTCATGTCATCATTTTAAAAAGACAACCTTAGTTAGTTACATACTAGGTTTTTTTTGTGACAATTAGCATTTATCAAATTTTAATTATAAAATAATTGATATATAATTAAATGAAATTTATAAATAAATTTTAAATCAAATTTAATTCTCCGGTGATTATTTATTGTAACCCTTAAAATTTTCTTTTAATTTATTTTAGTATAAATTTTAAAGACTATTTATATATTATAATTAAATATTTAAAAGTTTATCATACAATTACTTCAATTATTATCAAATTTTTATGATAAAATTAAATTTATTATCATTTGTGCTTTGATTTATTATTTTTCTGATCATAGAAATGAATTTCTTACTATGAGATAAATCTATATATTAGTACTAGGACACGGTTTAGGCATACTCCTTAGTTTATTTTATTATAAATTTTAGAGACTATTTATATGTTATAATTAAATATTTTAAAGTTTATGATGCAATTAATTCATTTATTATCATTTGTGTTTTGATTTATTATTTTTTTATCATAGAAATAAATTTCTTACTAGTTAGGTAAACCTGAATATTAGGGCCGGGACATGGTTTAGGTCTGCTCCTACATTTCATAGCCATGTGACTTGGTTTTCGGTAATTGAAGCAAGAGAAACACCACTTTTATTTTTTTGAAATAGTGGATGTTGTCTAGAAATTAGAACAATTAAAATCCTTAAAGATTCTCATTCTTAATTTTGTTAATCATATTGTGATTTTGAATTCTTTAATGATTTGCAGATGACTTCTTATCTAAATTGAAATTCTTTTTGTTGTTAGAAACAACCAAGACTTCATATTTTTTATCTTATCTCCTAGATTCTTCTCTATTTTGAAAGCGAGTAAAAAGTCAATTTTTTATTAAGAGTCTATTTTTTTTTACCCTGGACCTCTAAAAAGTCTAGGTCAACCCTATTATTTTTTATAAAATAATTATTTAATATCAAAAATTAAATTTCATATAGTCCGATAATAGTTTTAAAATAAGATTACAGTAGGTTATAACTCTTGCCCATACTTTTAAAAAAATAAAATAAAGGCCATATAAAAAAGAAAAACATGATAAACAAAAAAAAAAAAAGATGGTTAGGCCAAGATCCTCTCAAATGGATATATTCTTTACAAAAAAAACGCTCCTAATATTTTACAAAAATCACTCCTAATTTTCAAAGGAATATAGTCAAAAAAAAGTTAGAGAATAAGAAGTGCATCCTATGTTAGCAAATAAATTCACACAAGAATTCTCTTATCTTAAATGTGTGTTGAGATACAAAAGACATACTTATAATTATATTTTTACAATGATTCCAACGGTCCTTCGAAAAGGAATGAACTACTAGAAAAAAATCACTCTCAATACATAGTTTAGACCATGATTTATCCCTAGCAATTTCTATAGCTCTAAAGACTGTAAAAATTCAGCATGTAAGGAAGTGATAACATGAGTAGTCAAATCAGTAGGATCAGTTAACCAATTTTATGCATCCTTCAATCTGGTAATCATGTTTCTAGCACATTTGATTTTGATCATCCCATATAAAATTCAGTATTTTTATCACCTTACTTGTGTCATTTAAGCTTAGCCTTTTTCATTCAGAAAAGTTTTTTCCTGACAAAATTATAAATATAATAAAATTAAAGTATACCGAATACTTATGCCATTAGATATTGAACTTACAATTTTTAATGATAAATAATGAATATTTAAGATTTAGAAAATAATACATGTGTGACAGCTTGGCCGAGTGGTCTAAGGCGCTAGAATCAGGCTCTAGTCCGAAAGGGCGTGGGTTCAAATCCCACAGCTGTCAATTTTTTTTTTATTTATGCTCTAAAAAATTGAGTCTGTCAAAAATCTTAATCCTTTTTCTCATCTTTCTTTGCCTTCTCTCCTCAACAGCAATCTGAGCTCTTTAAGTAGCAGCCTTAGCTTTCATTGTCCTTACAGTGCCAACACAAGTCAAAATCACCTTGTTGGATTATTCCTTTTCGAAAAAATCACTTTCATTACCGATGAGATGAAAGGGATTATTGGCTAGTTTGGTCTTCTTAAAAGTCCTAGATGATTGGCACGGTTGAGTTTGTTAGTGATGAAAGTACTAATAAATTTTGAAGAGTAGAAAAGAGTGTAAAGAATTTGTAAGTACAAACAAATCAAGTATGAAGGGTTTAAATAAAGATGGTGAAGCGTTCAAATAAAGGTGGTGTTCACTCTACTTTATACGGTCATCACAAATTATTATTTTTTATGTAATTCAGATATTGAAATTCGGAAGCATCTAATATACAACAATTTTTTTAATTATAGAGGCATTTCATATTCGTTAAAAATATGTTTGAATTATAATCTTCGCATATATTCTATTGAAATTCAAATTTCATTCTTCAGGCAAATTCATAGAGCAGTATTATATGTATTTATTAGAGTGAATCCATATTTTAAAATTCGGATAACCCCAATCAAAGAGACGTGGAAAATACTAGTGATTATATGTTTGAAAATGGTTCAGATGAAATATTAAAAAGGGTGTAGAACAAGTATTACATAAGTAATATCAGTAAGGGTGCAAAAGAATTATCGTAAATAGACAGTTATTTATTGTCATATATCTCGTCTCCTATTGACTAACTAAGTTCAGCTAACTTGCAGTAGAGTTAAACCAAACAAGATGTCACCCAATTTTATTCATGATTTCTCTCCAAGTCAATGAAGTATTTAACGTAGACAATATCGACATAGGTCACACTTTTGTCCACAGATATATCAATGTCAACCAAAACCATTAAGTATGACTTCTATGCAAATACTCTATGATATATAACTCGTGCATCATCACCCGCAACATCCACAACAGCATTCAGGTGGTCAACATAATTTATCACAAAAGAAAATCTAGTGTGACATTCTCTAGTGGCATCTATCTCCTTTTGGGCTTTACTCGGATCAGATTTTAAATATGTCACCATAAAGTTGAGTGTCTCAGGTCTACTGATTCTAGAGTGGTCTAATAATCTTTATATGATAGGAACATGTGCCTAGCAACATGGTGTGCATATAGAGGAAGTAGTGAAAGGCATCAGGGACCTCCTGGAAAACTACCAGGCACAACAACATCAAGTTCAACATTAGGTACAACAACATCAAGTATAACCGCAAGTACTATAGCAGTGGGGGGCTTCATCATAAGCCGGAGATACATGAACCTGAAAAGACGATACTTCAGTAGTAAATGAAAATTCTTCAACTACAAGTCGTGAGGGTATATCTTTCTTTATGCACACTAAAGTATATTGGATCGCTCTACCATGCTTCAATCTTTGTTGGTCGTCATACACTTTTTCTATAATCAAACAAGAAAATGTATATCATAATCAAAGAAGCGAAAACAATGTATTAGCAATCCAAACTAAAAAAAAAACAAAAACAAAAATAGATAAATTTAATTTTTTCTATCCGGACAAAGGGTCTCGATTTAAAACTCCAGAGTGCACGAATCCAAAATAAAAATAAAAACAAAGCATTACGAATCCTATGCCTCAAATGTTCAAAGTTCCTAACAAATTCAATTTATGACAAAACAAATATAACAACTCTATTGCATGTAACTTAATGTAGCATAATTATAACTTATATAGAAAATGCATGCATCACATATAAATACAAAAGTAAAGAAATGAGAAACTTACCAAAAGTTGAGATGGATGATCTTGCCTTGAATGTAGTGAAGTGGAAGTTGAAAGGTTGAGATGGCTAATTTTGACTTGAATGTACTGAAATAAAAGTAGAAAGATGTGCTAAGCTTGAATGTAATGAAGTAAAAGTTGTGAGAAAGATTGAAAAATATTTAAATAGAAATATGTCTTAAGAAAATAATTAAGATACGGAAAAACAGTTCATTCATATTTTTAATCACTTAGGAATTTTGGGTACAACTTATAAAAGAGGATTTAATTAACAAAGTCTTCAAATGCTTAAACCACAATTGACAGCCTAAAGACTACTTGTCTTCTAAGAATTTGCTGCTTTGTTTAGTAAATTGCATAAACATGAAATTGAGCTAAATGGAGAAAGTGATAAGAAAAATAAAAGTTTTACACTCAAAGTTGAAGAAGTCAAAAAATCCTAAAGTGATGAAAGTATGAACATGTTAGTCTTTAATATCAAAAAGTTCATAACGTATGCTTCCAGTGCGGATGCAATGGCCATTCCATTATCACTCAAAGTTTCTGGTGCAGATGCATTTGGTCATTCCATTAATACTCAAACTTTCCATTGGAAATGCATCTGGCCATTCCATTAATACTCAAAAAAATAAAAAGATCAAAATGTTATCATGACAAAACATAAAGGTTGAAAGGATGCATTTGACCAATCCCATTAATACTCACTTTTTATAGGCACGTGAGGACTATCTAGTCGGAAAAAAAACTAAAGATTACAAAAAAAGTAGACCTAAAAGGACTAATGCATTGGCTCTTGCTCGACTAAATAAGTCTCAAGTTACTTGATTGATTCAGAGCTTCCTTCTGCTCAGCTTCTAGAATGGATGGATGGTTTAGCTAAAAGGATATGCGTTGATGCCTTGGCCTTCTCCAAAGACAACCTCAACCACAAGTTTTCTCAGGTTCGGCTAAGGGTGTTTATAGAAGAAGAATTTGCAAATGATAAGGTTAATCATGCATTTCAATTATTTGAAGAAAATTAAGGTTATCGTTGAGGTAATTGTTACAACATGGTTGAGTTTTTTTCCTCCCATTTGAAGGTAAAAGAAAAGACCAAACTTTCCATAAACATATGTATGTAGTCACAAGAAATGTCTTATCATTTGAGCTTCCTCTTTATAAGTTTAGCAGCTTGGATCTGTTCTGCAAACGATACTTTTTTCTGCATTTTCTCTCTTATGATAAGCTCTAAATCCAATTTAACATGAGTTGGAAATTTTGAATGCATAATGTCTCCTTTTTCAGCTACTTCACTGCTGACGTTACTAACATGATCCTGAAGACAGGAAAAAGAACATATTGTCATTAGTAGCAAAAAAGACAGATATGTCAACATTAGTGCCACTTTAATTAATAGTAATCTCCCCTTTCTCCAGTAGTTACATTACTCTTGTTCTTAATTGATACAACGGGTAACATTCATACAAAAAACAATAAATAAATGAGGAAATAATATGAATGCTTACTTTAGTTAATTTAGAGCCAACTTTGAGTTTGTCTTGCTCTGCTTTTTTGTATGGTTGACTTTTTTTATTCTCTCTTGCTTTAGCCCTCCGTCGGAGATCTCTTTTCTTTTGAGTAAGCCTTACCCTTTTTATTGCTTTTATCTGTGCTTCTTTCTCAGCTTCTGGTTTTGCCATCTCTTTGGCGTTTGCCTTCTCTGAAGAACGTTGAAGCTTATTGAGGAGAATCATTTCTTCATTTATCTTTTCGTAGCTATCCCAGTCTAGTTCTTGTTCTTCACTCCCTCCTTCCTTGGCTGCTTTGGCTATGTTTTCCATCCATGACCGAACAATTTTCTCTGCTGCAGCAGTTGCCATCAGCTTTTCTTTTCCCTTTCTCCCCAGCAGTTGTTCTTTTATCTTATCATAGCTGTCCCAATCTAACTCTTCCTGGCCACTCCCTCCTTTCATGGCTGCATTAGCTATGTTTTGCGCCCATAAGAGGAAAAATAGCTCCCCTGCCTGTTTTGACTTCAGCCACTTTTGCCATGAAAGTCTCTTCGAATAACTTATCTTTGCCTTGATTTGATCACTGCATGAAGTTTGATAATAGATTGGAGAATGAATTGTCATTGGCTACACTCATTTGATATTCACACAAGATTTTAAAAAAAGCCTAAAATTTCTTTCCAAAAATATTTACAAGTGAAGATTATACTTTAGAGTATCTTTCAGGCGAATTGAGACCAACAGGATGATCAATATATTTCTACAACTAAAATATTATAATAAAACATTTTTCCTATGTAAAATCTATTAATATTTAAATGAGAGGCGCACGCCCTATATGTGCCATTTCACACAATTTCTTATATGTCCCCTTCTAAAGCACATTCTCATTCTTTCATGATAACAAATTCTCATTTCTTATATGAACTATTTCCCTATATCCATTATTTACTTATAATTTTGACAATCCCGGTGTCCGTTATTAATAACCCAAAATTCTAAACTCATCTTGCTACCACACACATTTAAATCTAGACAAGTAAACCCATTTAAATATCACATATGTATGTTGAGAAGCAAGATTGCTAGATTGAAAAGACACGTCAAGATAGATAGTTGTCAATAGAGGAGAGACACAAGTTATATGTCTATTCAAGTAGGCAAAAAATGCTTAGATATCTGGATGAGTTCTTTATGCAACAATGTTGCAATGAATGTTTGCCAATGAATGATTGCATTATTTTGAAGGAGGTGTGTTTACCTACGAGAACGGGTATGAAACAGCGTCTTCTTGACCTGAAATTTTTTAGAGGAACATAATAAAATCACGGAAAGTGAATCATGAGTCAGGAGAAAAGGAAGTACCAGCAAGGGCAAGTAGCATGTTAATAAAGAATGAAAAGAACCACTTAAACCAAAAAAAAAAAATATATATATGTAAGATTGAAAACTTTGCAGCACATCAACACATAGATAAATAAGAATGATAGGAAGACTAGTACACCAAAGAGTCTTACTTGACTTCACCTTGGGTCCCTCATAGCCTCCAATGTTCTAATCTTGATAGCTCACGGGTCTCTGCAAGAGTGTTGACAACAAATGAGTTACAGAAAAAGGTAATATGATAAAATGAACCGTAAACCCTAAAATAGTACCTGCAGTGTGTTTCCTTCCCTTGTTCCAAGCTACTTTTCCTTTGTTAGCTAGTCCTATTTTGAGTCTTCTGGTCTTCTCTTTTTCATGAAAAACTCGATCCTCTTCCGTCAACTCTTGTTCGACAACAATGGGGGGAACAGAAGAAGAAGAAGAAGAAGCGAATGTTAATTTGGGGATTGGTTCCTGTAGAGAGGTGGAGGGGTGTTATTTGAGGGGAAAACGTACAAGTGTAATCAACCCTATTTCTGAAAAGTGAAAGATCATTGTTGGGAACATGATTGAAGGAGTGTGTAGAACAGACATTGAGACAAGTTATAGATAGTTGAGATGAACATGAGTGACTTCAACCAGCTTCTATCTATTTTGAATAAATAGGGGGTAATAAAGTCCTCAGGGGTAATAATGTATTTTACCTTTGAGATATTATTTTTCAATGAATCAATTAGGAATACAGATTCTTATGCACTCCACTTTTTGCTCCCGTTTACAATTTATGTTTTTATGCAATGCCTCTGATTATTCTTAGCAACACCATGGTTGAAGTAAAAGAGATAAGGGATGATAAAAATAAATTGGACTAGATTTGTAGATTACAATATGAACAACTGAAACCATTGTTCCAACACCAAAGTGGAGATTGTAATTTGCAGCTACATTGATTTTATGTTTTCATACTCACATTTTTAATGATTTCTTAATTGGTGAAGGTAAACTTTTGTTTTTAATTGTCTTGTTCATTTATTGAAGTTATGAAACATTCATCCTTCAATAAATAACTTACATATTTTTAATGGATTAGTTAGTTACATATTTTGATTTTTTTTAAATTGTTTTGTTTATTTTGTAATTGTTGAGATTCACCAGTAACAACAAAAATCTAACTTCAATCAACAACAATTAAGTTTTATCTCACTAATTAAAATCAGCTACATAAATTAACTTTTATCATAATGTTTTATCCAAAACCATACTTCTAACCAAATCGTTAATCTCGAGAAAAAATCTAACTTCAATCACTATTATAAAATTTGTAATCATAAAGCCCAGTAATCTTACAATCAGTTGACATAATTAACAACAAAACTTTGCTAATTAACAACATAGTCCCAAACTTTGTCACATTATACAAAAGGAGACCTAACCTACAAACAGATAATGCTAATCAAAATGTTGCCTTAACTGCATCTCTGTTTCACTTTTCCAACTTGCATGAGATGATTGGCCCCTCATCCTTTTAGATTTTTCCTTATCCTTGATAGTTGATCCTTTCTTCTTGGACTCTGCATTTGGATCCGGTGCAGGGCGATCACCACATACAGGGCAGACCATTCCACGCGCACTGGAGTAGGTCTTGGGAATTCCACACTGCAAGCACATTCTACAGAGAAAGTAAAGTACTCAGACTACAAGCAATAAAAAAACAGAATCTACCCATAAACAAAATGTTATTAGAGTTTAATTTTCATGCATTGTCAAAATGATTTATTCTCGGTGTAAAAACTTCTTAAATTGACGGCAAATGAATTAAATCCATATATTACAAGTTAGTAAAATATTGCTTATATTGCAGCAAGCAACTCAGCTACGAAAATAAAGGGGAAGCTCCTAGTTATCTATTTTAAAAGCTCCTATCATTAACACCTATTGGGAGATATACTTTCTGCAAAAATTGCAAAGGATTTTCATGCTCAGACTACATGCATACTACTCGGTGTTTAGTGTATAGAAACAATAAAATTCAGGTCATTTAACTACTATCTTAGAAAGGAATAATGCATACCTCAAAAGCTCTGCAGCATCTTCAGCATTAGGATTTGTTGCAGTTGGCTTCCGCTTATCAACTTCTGATGTGCTCAAGGCAGCTGGTGTTGCTTGTTGGCCACCATTGATGTCGCTTCTTACTCGCTCATGAATCCCAACTAGTTGAGCTTTTGCCTCTACTACAGCACCTATCAGAGGTTTACCCATATCGACAAATATTACACTCAATGGAAATAAGCACGATAACTTGCCATTGTTGCATCGGGTTTAACCCAATATGAATTAATAGAATATTCTTCATACAATTTAAACTTGCCATTGTTACAATTCCTTAGTAAAAGTATATTTAAGATATCAGCAGCTTAAGCAACATAAGCCATAAGCATTTTGTACAGAAAAGAAATACTATTTAAACTTGATGAACAGCTATGTGATCTATTTATTATGTATGTCAGGTTTGAAGCATTTTGGTTTATCAGCCTTCCTTTTTTTGGGAGAAAGAAATGATCCCAACCTATATCCAAAACCAAGCCTGGTAGGAAAACTTATTCAGGTAACTAATTGGCAACCAAGGGTAAAATAACCAAACTTAACATAGTTATCCATCTAGTTAGTTCTACACCGCAATAGGTCTATAAGAGCAACAAAAAGCCACCAGCAACCATAAAAAGCTTGTAGCATTGACAAAAGGAAGAAGGTCTACGTTTGACGCCATTTTAAAATGAACTCGTGCTTAATAACAAGAGTAAACCCGAAAGACATCATTGAAAAATCTGAAGGCAGACGGGCACAACAGTTCTTGGGAATGTAAAAATCCAACCTGATCCTAAAATACAGGTCATATAAGTTCAGACATTGGACACAATAATTTACTTATAAGAAAAACTAATAAGAATTATATTTATGGTTCTTAAGAATTATATATTTGCATTCAGATAAACTAATGTGAGGTTTACAGGGTAATAGCAACATACATACAAATTGCAGTATTACATAACATCATCGTCCAAACCCTAAAACTGTTTGCTTAAAAACGGTCTAATTTGCAGTTTATAGCATAAGCATTATGTATATGTATTGAAAATATAGTAAGGATTGCTTGTTAGTTGGTATATAAGTTTAGATAGTATATAACTCATATTGTTGACTTGTTTATGACTTCCTTTTTCATTTTTGTATCATTCCCACAATCATCAATAAAATATATCTGTAAGCTTTTCATTCTTCTAGCTTTTCATTCTTCTTTCCATGGATGCCATGCTAATCAACATT